GCACTTTGGACATGTCCAGAGGAGGGACAGCACTTTGGACATGTCCAAAGGAGAGACAGCACTTTGGACATGTCCAGAGGAGGGACAGCACTTTGGACATGTCCAAAGGAGAGACAGCACTTTGGACATGTCCAGAGGAGGGACAGAACTTTGGACATGTCCAGAGGAGGGACAGAACTTTGGACATGTCCAAAGGAGGGACAGAACTTTGGACATGTCCAGAGGAGATAGAATATATATACATGGGAGTGGTGGTGCAGAGGTTAAAGATGGGCCTGTGATCAGAAAGTCGCCGGTTCAACTCCCGGTACCGTCAACATCAAAACGTGTGTAGAAAAGGTGAAACACCCACACCTGCCTCCACCTTCATTTGCCCCACCCTGGGCCCCTGAGCAAGGCCCTTAACCCCCACCATCTGCTCCCAAAATGAGTTCTCGTGACTCAGCGAGACTACCTGGATAAATAGAGTAAATGAAAAAAATGAATTACGCCTCTGTTATAAATGTTTAGTGTCTACAATGTTGACTTGTTGGTGCAAAAATCATCTTACAAGTTGTTTAAACAGGGCAGACTGAGATTTTTCATTCAGCCTTTATTTCTACACGTTGGTCTCATTGAGTCTCAAGGACTCATCTACAAGAGAGACCTGATTTAGTACAGTAAAAATACAATTAAAATAAAAGTAGTTATAAAATATATCAAGGAGCTATAAAACGTGGTAAAATACTGATATGTATTGTGGAGAACTATAATTCATTTTCCTTAATTGATAACAGGGCCAGTTCTGCTGGGGTTTGATTTAAAGCGTTATTAACACCCCCCCCCCCCCCCCCCCTGATGTCAGAATGCCTAATGACACGAGTAGTGTGACACGGTGGCTGTTAATAGAGCTGCCGCCTCTCTGCGAGGTCGATGGTTCAAATCCCAGTCGAGGCCTTTCTGGGTGGAGTTTGCATGTTCTGTCCGTGCTGCGTGGGTTTTCTCCAGTTTCCTCCCAAACACCAAAAACACGTGTTAGACTGGTTGGAACACGTGTTAGACTGGTTAGTACATGTGTTAGACTGGTTGGAACACGCGTTACACTGGTTGGTTCATGTGTTAGACTGGTTGGAAGGTGTTAAGACTGGTTGGTACAGTGGATTCATGATTCCTCCAGATGTAAACACATCTGTCCCGTGTCAACGTGGATCTTTTCCTCTAATTAACATGAAAACAGACGTTTCCCCACCGTGTACAGGACCTAAATGTCCCTGGAGACAAACACTCTGAATGTGGTTTAAAAGCTGACGTTTAGTGAACGTTTGGATCAGACTTGATATCTTTGTAATGTTTGAGCTAAGTGGAAGATGATGTGATGGATTGAAACCGACCAGCGTCTCACATGGAGAGCGACTGATGAAGATGAGAACTGTGCCAGTTGAATGAGGACAGGAGGAGCAGATAATGTTCAAAACATTAAAAACTTTAATAAAACAAATCATAAAAAGGGAAAATGAGCAGTTTTGATCTAAAAAGCCAACAATGGGACGGCAAAGAAACAAACACATTACAAACAGTGAACAGTTGAGATCTGAGCGACACAAACATTTTTCATAACCTCATTCAACCCTGAGTTCATGATAATCCCGCTGCTGCAGGAAGCAGATTACAGCTTAACGGAACAAGACACAAATCATGGCTGTGGGTCCATCCACATCTGTCCACATGAACACATCTGCTGAGCGGCCGTGGCGCCGCTAGTAGCCCCCGCCGAAGCCCCCACCCCGGTCCCCGGGGCCCATGCCGCCTCCCGAGCCTCCTCTGTAGGGAGCCCCGCTCCTGTAGGAGAAATTATCTCCCTTCATGGCGCCGAAGCTCGACTGCTGCTGTCCGTAGCCCTCCCCAAAGTCTCCGTTGCTGTACCCGCCTCCCACCTGGCCGTCATAACCGTTGTAGCCTCCGTACCCTCCGTAGCCGCCGCCATCTCCGTAGTAACCGCCGCCATAGCCGTAGCCCCCTTCGTAGCCTCCTTCGTAGCCTCCTCCGTAGCCGCCGCCTCCTCTCCCGCCACCGTAGCTCGGCATTCCTCTTCCTCGGCCCCTTCCTCCGCGGCCTCCTCCGGACATCTCCTGCTTGGTGAGCGCCTTCTTCACCTCCACCTTGTTGCCCTCCACCGTGTGGTACTTGTCGAGCACCGCCTTGGTGGCAGAGTCGGTGTCGTCGAAGTAGACAAAGCCGAAGCCTCTCCTCCGGCCCTGCTTGTCCGTCATGATTTCAGACTTCTCCACGACGCCGAACCGCGAGAAGTACTCGGTCAGATGGTCCTCCTGGATGTGGTCCTTCACGCCTCCGACGAAGACCTTCTTCACGTTAGCGAGGATGTCCGGGTTGTTGGCGTCCTCTCGGGCTATGGCCCGTTTCAGCTCCACGTTGTTGCCGTCGAGCACATGGGGCTTAGCGGCCATTGCAGAGTCGGCCTCCTCCGGCGTGGAGTAGGTGATGAAGCCGAAGCAGCGGGAGCGCCCGAGCTGCTGGTTCATGACCACGACGCAGTCAGTCAGCGTCCCGTACTGCTCGAAGTACGAACGAAGGCCATCGTCGGCGGTTTCCACGTTTAACCCGCCGACAAAAAGCTTACACAGCTTGTTCGTCATGTTGTTTCTGGGAGGAAAGACGGCAACCACGAGACGAGCCGTGGAGGGCGGGCCGCTTAAGTGATGACGTTAACGTTTCTGATTGGTCTACTCCGAAGCGCATGCGCTCTAGCCTTCAACATCCGTTCGAATTTCTGATCGGCCTACACCGCCGCGCATGCGCTCTAGCCTTCAACAGCCGTTCGAATATCGACCTTTGTCGTGCAACAAAGCACGAGCCGGTGCAGTTCCTGCTGTAGGCCTCCAACTCCTGAACTTGGAAATTAAATAAAATCAAGGTCAACCAACTGCTAGACGTCTTTTATCATTTCTCAGCCAATTAAAACACGAGCTAGTGACTCCTGAAAGTGACCTTTACTGGCTTGGATATAAATTGACTTTAACAAAGTGAAACTTGCAGTTTCCCCCGGATCATGCAACATGCCCGAGACCGGCTCAACAAGTCCAGATTTACACCAAGGTGCTAAATGCATCCCATTAAAGGCTTTTAAACAGCTCAAGTTCACAGCAAAAACCAAGACGTTTTTATCGTTTGACACTTGAATGTAGTTTGACCGTTGACTCTCCATGACGTGTCGTCTGCGTGTTTTATTGGAATCAGGTGTCTTGTAACGGAGCCGGGGCTCAACGAGACCAACCTGCACAAGTAAAAGTTAACTTTTCTCTTCTTCGACTCATCTTTAACACCATCCTCATGACTGACAGATTAGAATTAATGAAAACACTTAATTTACAATAACTTTTTATCAAGATTATTTAAAGGCAGCTCCACCTAAAAAAAAACCCAAAATCAACTTTACATCAAATGGATTTATTAAATCTGATGTAATCACTTAAAACCTGATCAAAGTACTTTATAGTTTTGATTAAACTTATTTTCTTCAGAGTTATAAACAATCCGTTACATCTGTCATCGTGTCGACTACCACCTCAAACAAATTTAAACGAGTCTACTACTTTCAAAATTTAAAACCATATTTATTAAACTGATACAGCTGCTGAACATCTGCTTCAAATTTTTAACTATTGATCCATGACAGATTATCCCCTACACTACAGCTCAACAGCTGCACCAGATGTGTTGAGAATGAAGTCGGTCCTTCTCTTTAATGAACTCATCCTCAACTCTTCATACAAACATCTGTATGCACACACATGTTCAGGCTGCTGTTTAATACAACTCATTACGATTGGTCATTTCTTTCATCCTCGGTGCTTTAGATTAACTTTTTGGGTGCAACTGGGACCTTGATTACACCATTTCGTTCCACCTCGTGTACCACGTGATGAGAATGACTAAAGAACTTTGGTCTGGAAATGATGTCAAAAGTCTTGATAAAAATATAAAAGTTTATTTTGCACTCGTACATCTTATGGAAACGTCAGAAATCTCCAGGAACAGAAACACCTGGAAAAAGAAGAACACACGTACATTTGTGTCAAAAGTACAGAACAAAGACTGAAACAGGTTTCAAGACCAAACTTTAAATTAGTCCACATGTAGATCGCAGGTCACCATTTAAAAATTCTAATAAATCGTTCTGTGCGCTGAATCCTGCAACATTAGTTTAGTCGATCTACTTCCTGTTCACTAGAGTAACGGGTCCAGCTCAGTCTGGAACCTCTGCAGTGGCTGAACTCCTGGACTTCACCTGAGGAGTAGAAGGCCCGGGTCCCACCAGCATGGACAGACACCCCATCCCATTCAGGGTGATGTCATCCTGCGCAGGTTACCGTAGCAACCTGGAGAAAATGGAGGAGAGAGACTGATGAGCACGTGAAGACGCATCTGTTTTAGGAGACATGAACTTGTTCCATAATTTCACTCAATTGCAGAACAAGACGTGCGTCCCCTCTTCAGTCAAACCCATCCCCCACATGAACATTTAAGTTTAGCTAGATAAAAAGGCGTATCAAGGATAAATATGGGCACACTTGTGTACCATCTTAAATATATTCCATACATTGTTGACCAACAGAGTGAAGACAGTTGATTTACATACCTAGGTTGCTGGATGTGGATATCCTAAAGAGATATTTCAGAGTCCTATCACAACCGACCCCAGGTAATCAACAGGGTCCTGATGTAGCCTACAAACAAACTGCTACGGCTATTTTGGCTGGAATAGCCTACTGGAATACAAGTAACACCTAAATATAGGAATAATCAAAGATAATTATCACACCCCTCATGATGAAAAGGTAAAATGAGTCAGTTAGCAACAGCTCATACCATGAATTGAAATAAAGCGTCGCCCTACAAAGCCTACATGCAGTGGCTGTGGGCAGACGTTCACCCACCTGAAGGTAACAAAGGAATAAACTGGAAACGGAGCCATGTACACTAACCAACCTGTGGATAAACTGGAGGAAGCCTGGTTAAATAATAAGATAACTAAGCTAAGTGGTAGAAGGTTTTATTTAAAATGAACATGCATAAGCATACCAAAGTGTTTCGACATTAGGTTTTGTTCTCCAGACATCAATACAATATACATTTGATAATGCAACAGGTAATGGGAAGTTAACAATATTTAGACCGACTAGTACTAGTACTACTATCCGAGAGGCCTCTGGGTACAGACTGGGAACTAAAATCCTGCAGATCCACGCTGGGCCTGGAAATCATACAAAACAATAACCAGAATGACACTAAACATGCATTCTTATTCTTATACATTGAAAACAAAAGGTTTACTCTAAACAAAAATCCAATCGCTAAAAATTCAGATAGTAAAATAGGAACTTTGACCCAATAAACAATCCTAGGTTTGAAAACAAGTGAAGCAAATAAAAAAGAACTCCCCGCTAACGGCCCCCCGCGGGTTCATTGTGTCCTAGAGGAAACCACGTGTTCTACAGGTGATCAGGAAGTGGCCCTCCTACCTGTTTGGGTATCGGAGGTCTTTGGGGCTGACGGGAGGGTGTCTCGGTCTCTGAGTTTTGGGGCCAAATCGTGGCAGGGGGCGACTTGTTGCAGGGAGGATGTTCCCGGGTCGTTTAGTAGCCGCCGCCGTAGCCCCCCCGGGGGTAGCCGCCTCCGCCGCCCCGCGTGTACGGAGCGGCGCTCCTCTGGCCGCCGAAAGGCCCCTTCATGGGCCCGTACCCGGAGGACTGCTGGCCGTAGCCGCTGCCAAAGTCGTTGTAGCCGTTACCACCTCCGTAGCCGCTCCCCTGCTCGCCGTAGCCACCCCCGTACGGTCCGCCGTACCCTCCGTAGCCGCCGCCGCCGCCACCGTAGCCTCCGCCATTTCCGTAGCCGTAGCTTCCGCCATAATCTCTGCCGCCGTAGCCATTTTGATTTCCTCTCATGCCGCCTCCTCGGCCCCTGCCCCTCGGCGCCATCCCGGTTCTGCTGGCCGCCTGCATCTCCTGCTTCGTCAGGGCTTTCTTCACCTCCACTTTGTGTCCGTTCACCGTGTGGAACTTCACCACGACCGCCTTGTCGGCCGCGTCGTGGTCGCTGAAGTACACGAAGCCGAAGCCCCGCTTCTTTCCGGTCTCCTTCTCAGAGATCACCTCGGACTTCTCCACCGGGCCGTACTGCGAGAAATAATCGGTCAAATGCTGCTCTTCGATGTCGTCCTTCAGCCCCCCAACGAAGATTTTCTTCACTTTGGCGAGAGCCTCGGGTTTGTTGGCGTCTTCCCTCGCCACTGCTCGCTTCACCTCGACCGCATTTCCGTCGACGGTGTGCGGCCTGGCAGCCATGGCGGCGTCGGCCTCCTCCGGCGAGGAGTAGGTCACGAAGCCGAAGCAGCGCGAGCGCTGCAGCTGCTTGTTCACGACGACCACGCAGTCGGTCAGACTCCCGTACTGCTCGAAGTGTTTGCGCAGGCCATCGTCGTCGGTGTCCACGTTCAGCCCGCCGACAAAAAGCTTACAAAGCTGGTCGCTCATTTTCTCTGAAGCTCCACGAGACGCAGTGAACAAAGAGTCGATCTCAAGATGGCGGCCGGAGAACTGCGCAGCTGCATTTATAGGAGCTGTGACGTCAGCGCTCCGACTTCCGCTCTGTGAACGTTTGAGCGCCATGTGGCACGAAGAGTAAAAAATGACAAAAGACAAAATGTTCGAGCTGTAGATGAAGGTTTTCATCTATATTTGAATTCACGTTAGTTTGTAACTTCAAACATCAACTATAACGAAACAATCTTTAGAAGGTGGCATCAACTTTTAGTGAGAAGTTCCACTTTTTGACAGGAACAGGATCCTGAGGTGCATCAAAAATAAATCAAATGTACGCATCTTCTGTGAGTCCATTGTTGTCGTCATTCTTCGTTAACAAAATTCAGGTCTCTTGTAAATGAGTCCCCGAGGCTCAATGGGATGAACCTGTATAAATAAAGGTTGAATGAAAAATCACCTGCACACCCACAACTCCTTGACCTCAGGTCATCTTAATTAACTGAAGGTTAGACAGAAACTGTTAACGCCATCGGTTATTGTTTCATTCACACCGAGGACTGTAAACGGTACACACAGTTTCTCTGAAATCTTTGAGGCCGAGTGCTGAAGAGTCAACAGTTATATTCTAATTATTCTACAAACACAACCGTGACGGTTTGTCTTTACTTTTGCTCATGGACAGATCACGTGTGGTAGGATACGTGCATGTTGCACAGTTCCTGCTTCATGATCCAGATGACCACATCAGCCCCAGATCGGACCCCTCGTGTGCGGAGCTGCCCTCAGTGGAGACCAGGTGTTCGTGGGTACGAGCGCAGCAAATGAATGTTATCTTTCCTGTTCTTAGGGAAAGAACTGTGAAACTGAAACTTAAGCAATGTTAGATTGACTAAAACCAAATACACATTTCCTGCTGTTGGACTCAAGACAATTTGTTGTTTAGAAAACTTGTATAAAAAGTATTTATGAGTAATGGTCAAACCATGAGCTTCTTCAGAAATAAATGATCACAAACATGTTGTTGAAGTGAAAACTCTGCAGTCTGGTTTATAAACTCAACATTGTTCCAGTTTACACAGGAAGTGCATCATTTTCTCTTCTAGAAACTCCAGATGAATCGTGACGACGATCAACCGCGCGCATCACAAGTCTTAAGCGACCCAAACTAGGCTGGTGTCAGTAAAAACAGCTAAACTCACTGAACTTCGTCAAACACAAGAAGCAGAGCTAAAGGAAGATGTGACCAAATAAAAGAAGAGAACAAGAGTTGGTCTAACACTTTGTATTTTATGAGATCAAATTAAAACCCTTTGTAAAAGGAAACAAACTCCAGTCACTTTTAAGAAGTATTTTATTTGTAGTAGTAAAATTGAACATCTAACTAGCAGTTCCCCCAGTCCTTTTATCTACGGGTAATATTCAGTTTGAGACCAGTTTGAGACCATGAAACGTTGATGGTCCGTGTGCTTGAATGTTTCAGACCAAACAACTTCTAGCCACTAAGAAAACACAGTCTGAACGAAGAGCCCTGTTTGAGTGAGGGGGTGAGCACGTGGCCTAACAGGGTGGAGGGTGGTTGAAGGGTCTGTCAGGAGGGGGCGCCTGGATCACAGCTCCACTGGTGGCTCGGAGCAGACCTGGCCTCAGAAGCTGTGATGTCATGGACCCAGAAGCACCGTCTGCGATCACATGATGTAGACCTTCTCTGCCTGAGAGAAGTTGAAGACTTCTTTGGTCCTGGGACACACCACTTTGTCATCTTGGCGGATGGAGAGGAGGGACTGGGGGCAAAAAGCAGAACAAATATTACAACTGTGGGTCCTGATGTCAAACGTCCCTCTAATCAAAGCGTGCGTGTCGCCGAGTCCTCACGTTGTAGCCGTAGACGTATCCGTTGGGCAGCATCATGGGAGGATTGTTCTCGTTCATCACCTCCCCAGAGATCTTGCACACTAGTCTAGAGTTGGCGCAGTGGGCCATAGGCAGCGGCTGGGCCAGTTTGTTCAGAGATTTACTGCACACAGGGCAGTCCGGGTTTTTAGAGCCACCGTCCTCTTTGTAGCATTGACTGACAGAAGGTTGAGGATCTGTTTGGTGTTTGGAGGCAGAAGAGAACCCGAGCACATCCTGCACTAAGAACGTTTCCTGAGCTCCTTCGGTGGCAGTAAAGGATACGGTGTCTTGATGGCAGACAGACCGGCCTGCAGGGTGATGGTGAACACAGAGTTGTTGCCCAGCTGGTGCAGTCTGTAGTTGTCATATCGGAACTGCTGGATCAGCATCTTCCAGCGAGCTGGGTCCAAAAGATCCTGAGGAGACAAGACCTTAATTAGTCTGTTTCACTTGGACAATGTGCTGGTGAAGATCCTCGGTGATCCATGACCATTTAGGACAAAACGGTTAAAAACAACTGGACTCCTTTTCTGAAGCTGAAGACGTTTCAAGTTACGACAAAATGACGTTCCTGATGAAGCTACAGCTTTTATTCAGCTGAAGCACATCATGTCATCTGAACAGTTTCTTTTTTTGTAAGAAACGTTTCATCCGAAGGACTTCATCAGTCTGAGGCCTGCCAACAGGATCTGTCGTATAAATAGCACCTTGTTGGCGTGTTTCAAACCAGTGTGCTGTGTGGAGGTCCCAGGCAGCCTGGCTTTACACCTGCACAACGGAGGACCATCAGTGTAAGACAAGCGATGATCAGAGCAGAACAATCAGATGTTCGAGACAAAATGTCCACTTACTACTCAGTGCACCAGCTGAGGGCGACCTGGCCAAACAACAAGAGTAAGTAGGATCAATCATCCAGGAAAACAAATCACAAACAGTTCAATCTTGTCATCTGGACGGATTCTCTGGCAGGCCTCAGACTGATGAAGTCCTTTGGATGAAAGATGAAACATGTCCTTTAAAAACCACAGAAACTATCCAGATGACACGATTTAACCATGTGCGATTTATTTACCTGGATGATTGAGCCTACTTACTCTTTTTGTTCAGCTGAAGCTTAATTTTATAAACTTACTGCTTTATAAAAAAATGATTTGACAGACTGGCCAAAAACATTTGATTGTTGTACATGATGATTTTTTCATTCAACCTTTATTTATGCAGACATGTTCCTGATTTTAGTTTTATACATTTGTCTTGGAATCTAGCTGTTTTTTTTGTTTTGTTACCTTTTTCCTTTTAGCCATCCTATTTGTTAAAAAAAAACAAAAAAAAACTGTAGTATGAGTTTTTATAACTGCTTATTGTTGTTGCTGTTGTCCATTGTTGTCATCTTTCTTTGTTGAAATCAGGTGTCTCTTGTAAATGAGTCCTCGAGGCTCAATGGGATTTACCTGTAGAAATAAAGGTTGATTGATTTAAACAGGTTAGTCCCATTGAGCCTCGAGGACTCATTTACAAGAGACACCTGAGACGTGACTGATTTGGACAGGTGTGTTCTGCATGTGTTAAAAGTCTTCCTCTGACAATCCAACAGGAGGTCGTCTTGAAACTGCAGTGAAGGTTACAGATCTGGTTGGCAGGCTGCAGACTGAGGAAGTCCTCTGGATGGGGGATGAAACATTTCCCACTTAAAGAAACTGGTCCAGATGACACCATTTAACCTGTTGTTGTTGTTACTGCTTTATAATTTCAGTCGTGTTCAATTTGTTCCCATATCAGTTACAGTGTTTCATTGGACAAGCGGGGCACCCCATCAACAGAACCGAGCGCCCCGTCTACAGGACCCCCCCAGCTGTTGACACTGACATGATGCTAAACTAGCGGCTTGCAATACAGATGCACAAACTAAAGCTAAAGGCAGCCTCGTCCCTCGCGCTGACCCCCCCCCCCCTCCAAAATCTGTCGGTACAAATGACACGCAGCTGAGAAGTGTCTGTTTCTCTCCCCCACCCCTGCTCTAAAACTGTCGTACAAACCGTGCGCTGCCAGCTCAGGACGGGTCTCCGTCTGTCTGTCCCCCCACTCCGACACAAACCACGATCACGGAAGGACTGAGCGCCCCCCCCCCCCCCCCACGGCAGGTTATCTAGAGGAGACACTGAGTTGTGTGTATAAAGCGACTGGTGTGATTGCAGTTGAGTCCAACTCGTGTGGATGGAGCGAACAGAAACTGTTCCGTTCACTTGTCTAGTACCACGTCCCAGCACGAGTCATGTCAGGGAACAACACGGCCCTCTGGGAGCTCCTCTACAGCACCTCTAATCGCTGCTCGACATCTCTGAAGACCTTTAACTTCTGCAGCGGGCACAGTTCCAAGTTCGTTCTCGGCATTTAATCCATCACATGAGATGCACCCAGGTGGAGCAGTGGGCAGCTCTGTAGGCACCTGGGGGGCAGTTAGGGATTAGGTGTCTTGCTCAGAGACACCACGACATGTGCACATGGCGGGGAGTCAAACCGTGACTTTCTGGTCCCAAGTCGGCTGCTCCATCTGGAACCCAGTGGTTAATGGTTTAGAGTTAGCAAAGCTAACTTTTTGGTTGGCTGTGCCCACCTGACCTGTGTATCAAAGCAGAACACTGACAACTACACAACAGTTTAAAAAAGTTAAGTCTGCTCCTCTGGACATTCAAAAAAACAAAAAAAAATGTAGAAACGTTTCGTCTCTCATCCTGAGGACTTCCTCAGTCTGAGGTGCTGTTTTCAGCTCAGTCTCTTAAATAGCACCTTCTCAGAGTGGATCAACCAGTTTGCTGCTGACAACCAGAACCAGCTGATCACATGATCAAGAAGGACCATCAGCCTAACAATGGATCATTAGCACCTGATGGCTGTTTACTGTTCACAGAGGGCTGAGTGATACTAGCAATCACAGCATTGTAAGAGGGGGACAGTTGAACCTGGAGGCTCCACCCCTGTTTAATGATGGACGGTTTCTTTTCACAAAGATGGCCTCCTTTACTCCTCTCTCAAACCATCGTTCCTCTAGGACCTTCTCCGCTCCTGTTTCCTGGAACATCTTGTAAAAAGATCTGAAGCTCTCGACCTTTGACCTCTCTCAGTGACTTCAAACATCTGTTAAGTTCCTGCAGATGCGCCTGTTTTTATTATTTTATGTCACTTTATAATGTAGCTGTTTCTTTTTTATACCATTTTCTTTCATGTGTCCTTCTCAGTTTACAAGCTTTCTTTAAGAGTATCCACTGTTGTCCTGACTCTCTGTCTAAATCAGGTCTCTCTTGTGAACGAGTCCCCGAGGCTCAGTGACACTAGTCTGTTTAAATAAAGGCTGAAGGAATGGAAGCTATGGAAGAAGCTGAGAGGCTGTACCTTGTAGGGGGAGATGTGTGTGTCTGATGGGAAGGCCAGCATGCCCATCACCTGTCGGACCTCATCCAGCTGCCCCCCCTCTGCTTGGCTGAAGTGCTTCCTCGCATGTCTGGTGTAAACACAGAGACGCCGAGCACGTCAAACTTTGACAACATGAAGTTTTAATGCTTCAAGAGTGAGAGGCTGGTTTGTGCCGAGTACCGGACAGCATCCATGCGCTTGTTTTGTCTGATGAGCTCGATGAACTCCTGGATTCTCAGACTGAACTCAAGACAACTCTGACGAAAAAGAAACAAGTGTTTTTAATTTAAGCAGAACTTTCAACTTCACCCTCCATGTGAACTTAACGAGGTATGAAAACTAAACTAGACGGGAGTTTTGTAAATGCGCGTGTGTCTGGAAGAGCTTAATCCAAACTTGAAGTACGGTTGTTGTCTCTTCTGCCATGAAGTCTGAGAAAAAGCAGCTTTTCAACACAGCAAAGTAAAAAGTTGAATTTCATGGTCATCCTGCTTTTTGAGGTACCTTCATCTTGCGGAGGCGGGACTTGTTGTCATGGCACCAGGCTAAACAGGTGGCTGTCTCCTGCCTCTCCAAAGACTCCTCCACCTCCTTGGCAGTGAGGAACATCTCGATGTTCACCAGATCCTAGAAATGAAAGAGAAGAGGGCTGTAAAATAAATGGACTGAAGAAACTCCACATCACTTGAACACAGTCCTGTGAAAGAACACAAACATATCGACACTTTTGTTGTTGCTCCCATGTTTCATGAGCTGAACTCAAACATCCGAGACGTTTTCATGAAAGGTCTTTTTCTCTCAAAGATTGTTCACAGATTAGTGTAGAACTGTGAGATCATCCCTCCACCTCACAGATGCTCTGAGCAGGATTATTGTACAGGTGAGCCTTAGGCTGACCACAACAAAAGGTCACTCTGAAACGTGCAGTTTTACTGTACTGGGGGGTCCAGAGTCAATATCTTATATTAGGCAGCACGGTGGCTCAGTGGTTAGCACTGCTGCCTCACAGCAAGAAGGTCCTGGGTTCAATCCCCGGTTGGACCTGGGGTCTTTCTGTGTGGAGTTTACATGTTCTTCTCGTGTTTCCTCCAACAGACCAAAAACACGCATGTTAGACTGTTCCTCCTTTGTTTTGTTTAGATTACATGCCATTCCACTAGGGGGCACTATCATGCCAGTAACATGTTAAGGGGTTTTACACTCTTCTTTGGTGGTGTCTGAGTGTGGTGGAGATGAGGATGGTGGAATAAAGTTCATCAGATCCAAAAGGAGAAGTTCTTTTATTGTCTGCCTCCAGGCCTCTCCTGTAAAACAGATCTGTGATCTCAGTGGGAGTCGTGTGGTTAAACAACGGTTGATAAAAACGTGTGACCACCGTCTGCCTCACGCTGCGCAACACATCAGGTTGTTGATCGGACCTGTAGAACGTAGGTCCACTCCTCTTCAGTAGTGGTTTGAAGTTGCTGGACACTGTCAGGAACTGGAACACACTGGGATGCTGCCCGTATATTAAATGTTCATTTGTTTGCCATAAGCCTCCTCCAAAGGAGTTTCAGAGAATTTGGCAGAACATCCAACTGGCCTCACAACTGCAGACCACATGTTCTGCTCTGCTGGACGTTCCTGCAGCACACACTCAAAACCTGGAACATCTGAGTCGTTGTGTTGTGTGAGAAAACTGCACATTTTAGAGTGGCCTCTTGTTGTGGTCAGCCTAAGGCTCACCTGTACAATAATCCATCTATCCATCCATCCATCCATCCATCCACTTCTTCCTTTTTGGGTTGTGGGGGTCACTGGTGCCCATGTCCAGCCATCACCCTGCGAGAGGCGGGGGACACTCTGGACATGTCTCCAGTCCATCACAGAGACAAACAACCATTCTCTCTCTAACCTCAGAACAATTTAGAGTTACCAACCAGTCTCACATGCATGTTTTTGGTCTGTGGGAGGAAACCCATGCAGCACGGAGAGAACATGCAAACTCCAACCAGAAAGGTCCCTGGACCGGGATTTGAACCAGGGCAGCCTGCTCACTGAGAGGCAGCAGCTCTACCCACTGAACCACCGTGCTGCTGTACAATCAGCACCATGATCTGTCACACCTGAGATCATAGAAACTCTTTGATCTTTGAGTTCAGCTCATGAAAAACAAGTGATGCATTTATATGTTTGCTCAGGATATGATGAAACCCTGTGAAGGTTTATGTGTTTTTTTATCGTATTTGGACCAATGCACATTAAATATCAATTTTAACAACACAAAGATTCAAGTCATACAACTAAACAATTCAAACCAAAGAAAATTCTTTCTGTAAAATGTATTTAAAAGGGATGTTATTGTTGGGAATAAATTAGGACTTTCCAACTTTTACTGAAACCTAAAATTGCTAAAATTACACACAACTGGACCACATCCGTTCCAGAAGTCCTGAAGTGCGTCGCTCAGGGTGGCTACATGTTGGAGCAGCTCTATTCCTCTTTGTTTCTGGATGCAAATCACTTCTTAAAATGATCATTTCCACTGGGATCAGATGCTGTGCAGCTGGAAGGATTTTTACAGAAACCCCTTTACTTTTGGACATTTGTTATGAAGCGTAACCATGGCAACAAGGCGGTCTTTTACAACCGGGAGCAGCTGATTAACATGTCAAAAGCTCAAATAATACCTCGACTACAGCTGGGAAACAAGCTGAACTCCATCCAGAGTACCAGGAATACAGCGTTCTGTGTTTCAGGATCAGAGCCCTGACTCCAGCCGTTCCCTGCCAGCCTTCTTGACCACAGATAAGAGGAGCGTCAAAAACAAAGGAGTCCAGATATTGACAGTTAGCACGGATCGTGACAAGAAGAAGACCAGAATCTTCCCTCGACACCTGCATCTGTCTGCAATGACGAGGAGCTCAACAAGCTGTTGGGAGGAGCTCTGGCCAACATTCAGCTGGTAAGACTGAAAAACCACCAAAACCAGCTAACACAGTGTCCAAGCTTTTCCAGTTTCTACAGTCCAGGTCTGACATCATCCAGTCACTTATTCCACCTCAAGCTGCTGCTAAAAGCTGACAAAACCAAAGGATGTTGTTTTCCAACAGAAAGTCGTGCCAGCAACTCTTCCTCCTCTCATCCAGGCATGGTGTTCATACTACCTGGATTTCTACCTGGATTATTGAGCATGCATCAGGGTGTTCATACTGAGTTTGTAGATTCTGACAAATACTTGGGAACTTTGGTCCATGCACATCTCTCTCTGAAACCTCACGTTGAAGTCCTGCTAACGACCTCCTCGTTTGATTCAGCTGTGTGGCATCAGAGACACATGTAGACGTCGCAGGACTCCGGCCCTCGACTTTCACACCTGTGAGTTACAACGTGCGCTCTCAGGACATCATTACCTGCAGCGTCCCCTCAGTGAGGACTGAACTTGGCACAAAGGCCTCGTCCTACTCTGCTCCTGGAACTCCTTGCAACAGGAACTTGGATTTCTTTAAGGGGTTTCACAGATGCTATTGTCAGATGTTTTGCAAGCTTTGCAAACATTAGACCTTCAGAAATCTGCAGGGCCTGATGGACTTGATCCTTTTTTCCTTAAATTAGCTGCTCCAATTATTGCACAACCCGTGACTGACATTTTTAATTTGTCATTAGCTTCAAATACATTTCCTGCTTTGTGGAAACAGGCTTTTGTTATTCCTTTACTTAAATCTGGTGATCCCACAGACATGAACAATTACAGACCAATTTCTAATCTTTCAGTTCTGGCAAAAGTTTTTGAGTCATTGGTATCTGTCCAGCTCAAACAGTTACTACAAACTCACAACATTTTAAACAATTTCCAGTCTGGCTTCAGAGCAGGACACAGTACAATTACAACAACCTTAAAAGTTATAGATGATTTTAAAACAGCGCTTGGAAGTAAGCATGCTTGTTTAGCATTGTTTATTGATCTATCTAAGGCGTTTGACACCGTGGACCACTGTCACCTAATCAATATCATACAAAAACTTGGTTTTAATACAAACATGGTTAGTTGGTTTAACAGCTACCTAACTAAACGCATACAGTTTGTTCGATTCGGTTCAGTTTTGTCAGATGCGGTCACACTGAACAAGGGGGAGCCACAAGGGTCTATTTTAGGGCCCTTACTCTTTTTACTCTATATTAATCAAATCTGCGATCAACTTAAATTCTCCTCTTACCATATGTATGCAGATGATACAGTTCTATATTCATCAGCACCCTCTCTAGATGCAGTACAGTCAAATCTTCAGACAGATTTCAACTTCTTACAGAAAGCTCTCTGTGATTCAAAATTGGTCTTGAATGCTAACAAAACCAAAATAATGTTGTTTTCCCATAATTCTGTGGTAACCATCCCTACTATCAAAACTCTGAATGGCCATGTTATAGAACTTGTAGACACATACAAATATCTTGGTATTTGGCTGGATAAAGATCTTAATTTTAAACATCACATTGCATATCTAACAAAAAAGCTCAAATTTACTCTAAGTGTTTTGTACAGACTGAAATCATGTTTTTCTACTTCTTCTCGTAAGCGGCTTGTAACAAGTTTGTTTTTATCACAGTTGGACTATGGAGACACAGTCTATAGATTTACCTCTCCCACTACCTTAGCTAAATTGGACCCTATTTACCATGCTGCTCTGAGGTATATAACAGGTTCATCCTTTAGGACTCATCATTGTACTCTATACACCCTTGCTGGACTTAGTTCTCTCAATGTTCGAAGAATGAAGCATTGGTATATTTTCATATACAAAGCCATTTTAGGAAAATTACCATCATATATCTGCTCCAATTTCATTACACTACAGAACACACACAGTCTCAGGGCCAGTAGCTGGCTGAGGTTTAAGGTACCCTTTGTACGCACAGAGTCAGCAAAGATGAGTTTGTCCTATTTCGGCCCGTGGTCTTGGAACGATCTGCAGCTTAAGTTGAGGTTAGAGTCTTTTATTCCATTAGCTAGTTTTAAACAAAAATTGTCTGAGGTTTTAGTCAAATCTTGTACCTGTAATGTTTAACTGTTTTGTGATTTTCTTAACTTACATTGTATTTTATGTTTTATTGATATATGTTTCTTTTACTTATATTTTATTTTTAATGCATTGATACTGTTTTTAAGACTGTTGCTATATGTGTATATAGCCCAGGACATCCTTGTAAAAGAGATTGATGATCTCAATGGATTTCTTCCTGGTAAAATAAAGGTTTAATAATAATAATTAATTTCAAACATTTGATGTCGATAGAAAAATCAAAGCAAATACGTTCTTGTTTTTAGTATTTCACCGTTTTACAGCACCTTTATTTATTTATTGTTTTGTAAACTACTCTTGTTTTAACTGCAGTTTATTGTTGTTATTGTTTACGGTTTTGTTGTTTGTACTTGATCTGTTGTGTCTGGATCAGGTCTCTGTTTAAAAGAGTCCCCGAGGCTCAATGAGACTAACCTGTAGAAATAAAGGCTGAATGAATGAAAGTATGTTGTTAAAATTAGTACCGGTACGTTTAAGAGTTTAGAACTTTGAAAGTGTGGGAAAAGTTTTTAAAGCCTTAAAATACATATAAATACTAAAATAAATATAATGTCGCTACTTTGCGGTTTTTCAGTTACTGTGGGGGGACTGGAACGTAACCCCCACAGTAAAGTAGGGACTAGTGTACCTGCAACTAAATCCCTTTCTTTTCTAGATACCAAAAATAAGATTAAATACCAAGATGTGAACAGGTCTTAATCAAAGATAGAATATTTATTGACGTCCTCATTTCTCCACATGGCTATTTGGGGTAAACGTCAGTTCTGAATGAGTTCAGCTCGTCTTCATGTTGACTCAAGGGGTCTGTAAAGCATTTCCTTGAGGAGGAGCCCTCACACGGACATTGGAGCCGTACCTCTATACCGCTCTGTCGGGCCAGCTTCACCGCTGTGTTGTAGTAGCCGCAGCGCAGCAGATGCTCCACCATCATGCGGTCCATACGTTTTTTCTTCCAGAGGTTGACTGAGGCGAGCTGATCGCTGCTGTGCTCCTTCAGGTGCTCAATGCGACGCTTACACAGCTTAGCGCTCTCATCTTCAGCTTGAATAGACTCGGCAGCCTTAAAGAAAACAAACACACGCTTCAGATAATATGAATGTTATTCAAATGGACAGACTCCAGTTATGGTGGTGACGTTTGTGCAGAGCAGACAGACTTTTGTGTCGTCGCACCGTACGCAATTTTTGTTTTCATGCCATAGCCCATGGCAAGGAAGGAAAAGAGGAGATGAATGGATGCAGTTAGAGGACATGGAGGGATTTGGAGTGAGGACAGACAACAGAGATGAAGGACTCGCTGTGGCGACCCCTAAGGAGGGACAAGCTGAAAGAAGACGTTTGATCACATTTTAGGTTTTATCAAGAAGTCATTTCATCACTAGAATGTGTTGCAGTGAACAGCAACGCTGAAGTCCAAGTGTTACAAACACAACAGGGCATTTGACCTGGTAAACACCTGGTAAACACCTGGTAAACACCTGGTAAACACCTGGTAAACACCTGGTAAACACCTGGTAAACACCTGGTAAACACCTACTCTCACTCATGTTTGTGAAGAGGAGCTTAGGCTTCAAACTGAATCTAGTCGAGGGTCTCTCCACAGCTGCAGATGTTGCCTCACCTTCCTCTTCAGGGCGCTGAGTTTTTCCACCACTCCGTCCAGCAGCGACACCACAGAGTCGACCACCGGGAAGCCGCTGAGCGTCTTCTCCAGCTCTGCGACCACCATGGTGACGTGGCTCGTCTCCCTGTCGATGTTCTTCTGAGCCGCTCGGAAGCGTTTGTTCAGAGTCTCGTACGGCACCTGCAAACACAATTTCCCTGATCACGTCAGCTGCGACACCACCAGATCATTTAGAGAACGCCGTTTGATCAACTGTGACTCGTGTCAGTAGCTCGAGATTAGCTTGAGCCTGACAGTGGAGTCATTTAGAGAAAAACAGAAAACATTTCCATATTGTTCCCATTTCACTAAACTTTAACAGTTATCACCTGCCACAGAAGGTTTTGCCCACGTCTGTCTGTAGTGTTAGCAAAATATCTCATGCATCAGTGGACAGATTGGAATGAAACTCACTGAATGTACATCTACAACAGACTACCTTTGAGTTACTCATCCAAGATGGCCACCAGAGCTAAGCAACATTGACACATACATTACAAGACGTTTACAGACACTGAGCTGAATGTGGTGGTAGTAGCTGAGCGTCAGCCCCAACACACGATTCAAGATCATGTAGAAACCCCACATCGTGTCCCGACTCAGTAACGATGCTCAAAGTTTCTTTATTTGTCATTCACACCACATGTGGTACATGTGGTGGAACTAAATTGTGTCCACAGGGTTCCAGTTACATCCAACAAAAGTATAAAATGTAAAGAAAAAGCGTAATAAGATCCAAGACATGAACTAAGAAAGCTGTCATTCATTCTCTCTTTTCACTCTCACATCAATGATATCACCCGCTCTGCACACTTCCACCTTCCAAACATCAACGTCTCCGTCCATCCCTCTCCCCACACTCTGCTTCCATCCTGGTCCATAGTTTGCTCATTTCTCCAACTGATTACTGAAGCTCTCTTCTTTTTGCTCCGCCGCAAAAATGACTCTGGAAGATTCAAATGGTTCAAAATTCAGCTGCTCGCACCGTCACCAACACCCCCTCGATTCACCACATCACCCCAGGTTTACAGCAACTTCACTGGTTTCCAGTCACTTTCAGAATTCCATTTTAAATCCTGTTGGACACATTCAAGGCCATCCATGACCCCCCCCCCCCCCCCCCCCCAATCTGTCCCATCTCCTGCACATGATCACCCATTCACGCTCCCTTCTTCTTCCATCCACCTCAACGTGCCTCTGGTCCTCAGCACCGTGGGACACAGAGACTTTTCTCACTCTACCCCCAGACGTCTGGAACGCTCTGCTCCCACACGTCTGGAACGCTCTGCCCCCACACGTCTGGAACGCTCTGCCCCGACACGTCTGGAACGCTCTGCCCCGACACGTCTGGAACGCTCTGCCCCCAGACGTCTGGAACGCTCTGCCCC